CTTATTAAAGCACCTCGTGTAATGGCTCGTGTAATGACAAGTTATTCGTAAAAACGTTAAGCACTGATGATTAGGATTTCACAAACGAGGGCTATAACATTCGGTAAAAGAGTTAAGGCAAACTTCATTTAATTAGTCCTCGAAAGGAACACTTGGAGATATTTTTATTGCTTTACTCTCGAGAATAGACTTTATAACAGTTCCGGAGTGAAAACTTTCTGCGCTCTCTCTTCTTTCGCCGCCGCTGAGGTTGAACAAATAAAATTAATTCCTCCTCTTATCTTATTAGAAAAGGAAAATGTTCGCGAAACTTCGTGTAACATAAAGTTGCGCTGCGCGGAGTCGCGTCAACACCTCAAAAAAAAAAAAAAAAATTAACATCGCGAATCGATGTTCTGCATTGTACGAATTTACGATCGCACTGCTTTCGCGATCGTGTCGCTTTTTTTTTGTTTCATTCCTCGCGCGAACACGGAGGAGGTAAGTGCGCATAGAAGCTCGTTAATGTCCTGGGTCATAAAAGAGTATAAGCCAGTTTTCAAGGATCCCCGCTTGGCTGCAGTTCTAACGTCGACGTCCTCGTTTTTCTAGGGCGTCTCGTTGATACAACGGCGCTGAGTACAATCGATACAACAGCCACCCCTATCCATACGCTACTGTCTATTGCATATTCATTTTAGTGATGATTAGTTAATGTCCATACTAATTTACGGAGCCATAGCGCGTATTTTTCCCCTCTATCGACGCCGGATAATTAAACTGTCACATATTGCCACCGGCATATTCAATCACTTCTGGTCGAAATAACATATTCACAAACTTAATCATGTTTTTCTAAATATATATTTCTAACTATTTATTGTATAAAAACAATAATAATGAAATAAAATGTATTTCCACGCATTAAACAAAAAAAAATAATTTTTTTTTTTTTAAATATTAAATAATTATTTATAAAGGAATGGCTCAAATGATAACAATCAATTAATATAATAGAAAGGCATAGAGAACCGTCGCGGGATGTTAGTGCGAAATTATAATTTTTCTTAAAGAAATTAATTTGTTAGTCTACGTGAGACAGTTAAATTTGTACACCGATCTCTGGTTCGAGATACTTAAAGTGTACGAAAATTTTAGTACATTGTTCTCACATATGGAGAATCAGTATGTACTGATAGGAATTATTAGAAAGAAGGGAATAGAGAAAAAATATCAGGGCGCGAGTGGCTAAGCCGGGAATTGAACCCGGGTCTTCCCGGGTGTACAAATTTAACTGTCTCACGTAGACTAACAAATTAATTTCTTTAAGAAAATTATAATTTCGCACAAACATCCCGCGACGGCTCTCTATGCCTTTCTATTATATTAATTGATTGTTAAATAATTATTATTTTCTTTTATATATACAGGCTAAAACTAATTAGCTGTCATTTTTAAACGCACATAGGGAGCAAGAAAAATAAAATATCTTTTAGCGGAGAACATTTTGCAGTTTTTTATTTACATATAAACTAAAAACAATGGAAAATATTTTTATTATTAAATAAACGTTTATTAAAAAATGTCAAATTTTGCTTTTAATTTCTGCTGGATTATATTTTCGAAATGCGCACCGTCAGAATTATAACAAAAAATTTAAGTCACTTTTGGAAACTGTAAAAAACTTTATGCGACAAAAGTTACAGTTACAGTTATAATTTTTGAAATCGACTTAATTTTTATATAATTCTGACGGTACGCGCATCAAAAATATATACCATTAAAATTAGCGATATTCGGTATTTTTTAATAAACGTTTATTTAATGATAAAAATATTGTCTTTAGTTTACACGTAAATAAAGCTGCAAAATGTCTTCTGTTAAAGAATATTTTTTTTTTTGCTTCTTATGTGCGTTTAAAAATGACAGCTAATTAGTTTCAGCAGCTTCCCATAGGACACTCTGTATAATAAATTGATTCAGACACAACTAATTGTAAGAAATGGAGCGTCATTTCTGATAAATTAAGTCGCAGATTTACATAGCGGTTAAATAAATCTACGAGAATATATTTGAAGCGATTGAATCGCGATTGAATCGCGACCGAAGATATGGAGCGTCTGGAGCGGAACTGAATGCTTAATCATACTTCATTAATGTCCAGGAAATATGTCTCGTGGTATTCTTCGGGGTCGAGTACATGGTTCGATTATGGAGCGCGGGCTGCAGGTCCAAGTACATGGGTTGCTGCGGACGGCTGCGATTCGTACGGAAACCGATTTGTATCATAGGTGAGTTGCGGCTCGCTTTTCCTAATGCAAGCGAAGCGCATCGCAAGCGGAGCGCGGTATGCTCGAAACTAATCCGATATTCGCATTGTCCGATCGACGGACGCCAAAATTGGATCGCGAGAATCGTCCGTCCTTTTGTTTCGGATCGCTTACAGGACCGTTTGCGCGACTATCGCTAGCCGACCAACTTTGCGAAATTAAGCCCTGGCCCTAATATCGAATCCATTCCGCTAAAACCAAGATTGGACGCGCTGTATCGCGGCCATCGTTTCTGCCGGACGCGCTTCACGAATGAAACACACGCAAACGCGGTGTCCGCGGTGAAATTTCTCTCTTAATTGAAGACCCAGCTAAAATTGATTACCTGGCCTCTGTTTTGGAACTTTGCAATTACGTTGATGACGACTGCACGATTGAAGACTTGAAAGCAAGGAAAAACGGGCGCTTTGATTTTTTTTTTTTAAATATTATTGGAGTGGCCAAAAAGTCAAAAAGCCTCCGAGAGCGTATCAAAATTCCTTTTTGTAGGATAAATTTAGTTATTCATGGTCGAATTAATTGGTTTTGCGGATTATTCGTGTAAGTTGCTAATGAATAATGACGAGTAAATAAACGTGTTCAAACAAAATCCTCAGTTTCGCAGTCGTGCGTATTTTGTGTATATTCGCGGTTCATGTATTGCTCACTGCTCGGAATTAGTCGTATTTTCGAATCGATTTTCACGCGGCACCACGCGAACTGCGTTATACAAATTGCTGTTGTACAGAACTTTTCGCTTAATAAACAATATTGGCGTTGGAGTATCCGTGCGCTTCTCGCATCCGACGAAAACCGCTTCCTCGTCATTATCTTGAACTGCCGGTAATATAATCGAGAGTGCACTGTATTTCGTTTCACTTTATCTAGCAGGAGCGGGAAACGCAGAACGTTAATTGTCCGTGGCATCGTGAATGGAGCATTATTATTAACAGACCGGCCGCAAAAACGCTACTGGGATTGCTCGTATTCGCCAGTCTCTCGTATAACGCGCGGATCTAAAGAGAGATTATTGCTTTTGTGGTCTTGGCAACGCGCGCATGCACAGTCGACAAATGAATTTTCCAGATAATATCGGATTAAGCATTAATCGGATTACGTTCTTTGCGTTTATCGATATCGCTGATTATCGGCGATTTGATCAGCACCTCCTGTGTCGGCGGAAAATATTTTTTTCAATCGGCACGACATGCGGACACTAAGCCGTTTTATATGTATAACTATACACTGCGAAGCGGCCGTCGCATTTTATCGCGTTTCCTTCGTATTGATCGTGCGACGCTCTTTTTACTTTTAGATTTAATCGTCGTGGTAGCGTCCATGGTAGTCCTGTCGGTAGGAAGCAACGGTCAGGTGTTTGCCACATCCGCCATCAGGGGTATTCGGTTTTTGCAAATTCTGCGAATGCTCCATGTCGATCGTCAAGGCGGCACGTGGCGGCTCCTAGGCTCGGTGGTTTTCATACATCGTCAGGTATGTCGACTGCATCGTATGAAGAAGTGGATCTTAATAAGTGGATTTTAATTACAAAATCAAGGGTACCTGTGTGTTTGATAATTATATTTCTAAACACTTTTGTACTTATAAAATATTTGTATTAATACTTGTGAAATATTTATAAGAATTTCTTTTTTTTTTTGCTTCACAGGAACTGATCACAACGCTGTACATTGGGTTCCTAGGCCTTATTTTCAGCAGCTACTTCGTGTACCTTGCCGAAAAAGACGCAGTCGGGCCCGACGGCAAAACAGACTTTTCCAGTTACGCCGATGCACTGTGGTGGGGGGTGGTAATTATTGATTTTTCTAACAAATACTTTTTACTAATTTAGCGGCAATCTATGAAATTTATGAAAAAAATTTTTACACTATTTTTCAATTATTGCCATTGCTGTTAATCTTTTATTGAATTTAAATTTTTTATGAGAACGACGAATAAATGGTATAGAATGTGATCGCAATGTACATTTAAAAAGTATAAAAAGGTACAAAATACTAAAAAGTTTAATATTCCGAGAAAGCAAAATTTTATTTCCAATGGAAACTAAATCCGATGAAAAGTGAAGTCATTAAATCAATTCTGCGAAAAATATAAGCAGCTTAAAGTTCTTCATATAATTAACAACGCAAACAAATTGAGGAAAAATTGATGAATGGTGGCAAATAATCGCCAAAAGAACGATCGATTTGCAATTTATCACGGCGGCAACGATAAGTTTCGATGTGCGGCGCGATACTAATACTCGCGTGTCACACCGATGCAAATAGTTTGAATTACAGCGCCATTTGTACAGCAATGTGGTGCGTAAATTAAATTACTTATCAGAGCGTAATACGCTAATTAATAGGATTAACTAATTGGGTTTCGCGGATTAAACTGTTGATAAAGTAGATGTCAACTGTTTGCACGGAGCGAAACCTCTCCGGACTGAACTTGATATCGTTAGGAGCGATGCAGAGATAGTTCGCACATTGAGCACGCTGTGAAACAATTTTATTTGCATAATGAATACGTTTGATGTTTGCAGATCACGGTAACGACGATAGGTTATGGTGATACCGTCCCACAAACGTGGATGGGGAAAATAGTGGCCTCGTGCTTCAGCGTTTTCGCCATATCTTTTTTCGCACTTCCAGCTGTAAGTATATGTTGCCGAAACATTCTCCCTTCGCACTCCTTTTTTCTAATCAATCTAGTCATTTTTTTTACGACAATCAATTTAGATTTCTACAGAGATCATCATTTGTCGCAAGTTTTTAACAATATCTTTATGATATAAATTCAAATTCTGTCGGAATTTACTTGAAATTAATTAAGGAATGTAATTTTGTTATCTATTTATTTGGTTTGAAATTAGCAGTTTAGAGAAACTCGTCTAGTTAGAAATGCTTTATTTGTATTTGTTTTATCAGTCAGAAGGATTAAATTAAATCAATGCAGCTATCGTGAGTTGGTGTTTCCGTATCTTTCTCAGGGTATCCTAGGTTCCGGGTTCGCGTTGAAGGTACAGCAGAAGCAACGCCAGAAGCATTTCAATCGGCAAATACCGGCTGCGGCGATGTTGATACAGTGTCTGTGGAGGTGTTATGCCGCCGACAAGGCCATCAACAGCGTCGCTACGTGGAACATCTACATCAAGGATCCGGCGCCGGCTGGACAGCCCTCGACACCCCTGGGCAAGGTAATATTTCCCGTTTGCGAGCAGTGCGGAGCAGTAGCCGTATTTAGCTGTTGACTGTTGATGTTCTTAGTTGCTTATACAATGTTCTTGGACGTTGAAAGATGGATTTAATAAGTCGCAAAAATCGCGCGATTGCCCCCACGCGAAAAAAAAAAGAGTGAAAAAAACTTTATTGCGATTTGGTCGACGAGTTCGCTAATGAATCTGGAATTACCTGTGATTTCTCGTCTGACTCAAATATATGGCATCCGAACTAATTGCTCCTGAGATTTCCGGACTCTTACCGCGATTACGTCTCCGCGTGCGACCAGATTGTCGAGTAATTCTGAATCGTGGTGGAAGAGTCGCGTCATTGTGTTCCCTCCTAAGCGGATTGCGAGAAATCAAATTTGCCTTGTGTCGCTAAACCCGCCGCGCAAATAAGCGTGAAGCGGTGTAAAAAAAAACGAAGTAGCGTATAAAATTTATTTTTTAATCTAAAAAAAGTAATCAAAGTTAAATCATTAAATATTTAATTAAAAGCGATTACATTTTTATATTAAAAATCAACGGAGATTCTTAATACATTTTTGACTAAATGTTTATTAAAATATTTTTAATTGGTCGCCGTAAATTGGTCAGCATCCACAAATTACCGTGTCACATCAAATATAAAACGTTGCAAAGCGTAAAAAATTCACGGTAAACTTAAACTTTTATGAACATTTATAATCCGACTCATTAGAATCTATTAGAGATGTTTCGCGCTTTCGGGAAAGAAGACTATAACGTATTTGAAATGCGTATTAATTAAATATAAAAGCCGTTGTATTACAGCGGCAATTTCATTAGCGGGCGTCTAATAAGGCCGCTGTTAAAAGTTATTACAATAAAATTCGCTATATAATCGGTTCCGCGTAATAACGAGATTTGCGCGAGATAGTTTCGCTGTCCTATATTATTAATCGCTAATTACCGCCCCGGTGAATCTAGTATTGTGTAACGACAGTAACAACGGCCGTGTACTTTTACCTGTCCGATGATAATTTGGCAGTGGATGGATGCAAGCGGAGAATGCGAATTTTGCTCGATGTTCTCAATGTGCCGTTATTTACCGCCGCTATCCGGTCAATTTTGTCCCCCCCCCTTTTCCCCTACATGTTGCTAATCACATACGTGTGTTAATGCAGTCAGAAAAAAAAGATGCGCTTAGAAGCTTCTGTACATTATCCCCCCCCCCCCTTTATATACGACGTAACGAGAGTTCCGCTTTTGTTTTTTGTTCGTTCGATTTCGTTTTCGTTACGTAATATTATAAGAACGATCCTCCTTTAACAATGCGTTTTTTTAACGGACTGGTTTGTTTACCTCTTGGATATATGTAGGTATATCCTTTTATAGTCTTAATGGTTAACCGTTTATTAGTTGGAATGTTGGGTATATTATATATAAGATGCGTGCAGATATTCATTAGGATTATATTATTATTATAGAAATTTATGTTAATTTTTTTTATATACACTGTAAAAAATTACTGCCAATTCAGACAAAAGTGTTTGAAGTTTTCTTACAGTCACATTGTCTCAATTTTCGGACAGAATATTGTCTGAATTTCTAGCCACAGTTATCTGAATTTCTGGTTACAGTTGTCTGAATTTCTAGCCACAGTTGTCTGAATTTCTGGTCACAGTTGTCTGAATTTCTAGCTACAGTTGTCTGAATATTTCTGATCTCAATGCCTGAATATTCAAACACTTTTGTCAGAATTTAGATGTGGTTTTTTAAAAATACTAACAATATATTTTGGTTTAAAGTATACTCAATGATGCGATATTTCCTATTGGGCTTCCGACTCCCGAGCCCCACACAAGCGAGAATATGTACGCGCTTCTATCACAAAAATGTGTCTGAATTTTTAGGCAATTTTTTACAGTGTATGTATAGAGATCTTCCTTTTTTTTTACGTGAACGTTAAATTGTCGCAAATCCGTGAAATGCCAGTTGGTAAAGTTTCTCGCGTGGGTCGCACTCTTGAATTTTCACGGCTTTATTTTTTTATTTAATTTTTTTTTAAACATCTAATCTAAATCACAAATAGTTACGTTTGAACGGTCCATCAACAGGCTCGTGTTGCACAAATATAAACTCCAAAAAAAAAAAAAAAAATCAAATTTTATCGTCAGCCACGCGTTCTCGTATCTTTGTGGTGCATCTCTTTTTTTATTAAATTTATATTTCAAACATTATTGCTTGGAAACTCCAATAGTTGTCATCCTCACATAAATTGCTTCCGAATATGTGTATCGAATAACAGACGCAATATTTTTAGAACGGTTTGATTTTTCAGAACGGCTGTGTTTGATTTCCATTTCCCATTACGATTATTATCGTTCAACCAGCGTATTTTTGTATTGCGCTTGTACACCGTAATGTATATATGAATAACATAAAATTAAATTGCCCGAACTATGGGAAATGTAAATAATACGTTTGAAATTGTTTTCACAGCCATTGCAACATTAAATTCATAATTAATGATTATAAAAGAATTTACAAAAAAAAAGGGGAAAAACGGGACTTAACCAAAAAAAAAGTTGATTTATCGGCACATTTCGCGTACGCTTAATTGACACGAAGCGGCCGTATTTGTAAAAGTTGTATCTCCATTTTGCATCTGCTGCCAAAGTTCACAAGCTCTCTGTGTTGAAACCGCGCGCGATACATTATTTACAATAGTAAAACAACGCTAAGTGTGATGATTTAACGATGATAAAATATACCTAATATATTTCAGTTGATTTGTGTAAAGAAGATGGTATGTAAATGGTTTATATTTATTTCCATTCTTACTCTCTTTTGCATGTTTATTTTTTTCCAACTTTTTATCACATTTTTTTACACATTTCTGTTACACACCGTGAAACGTCTATCTTTTATATTACATAAGCAGGGGTCACCGTGCTCACTGTCTGCTGACTGAGTGTAGAATAAACGCATATTAAAAGATATTCGACGCTCACAAAAAGACCATACTTTCGTCGCACTTTTAGCTTTAACGAAGGTGACTGCTTAATTTCAAGCTGCAGCTTTTAAACACACCGTCGTAGTCATAGAATTTAAAACGTAAATTAATTTGCGGAAGCGCTGTCTAAGTAAACGTTTAAAAATACGTTATTTACTCTGTTCTTCCTAACAATGTTCTTGTTGAAACATATTTCTCTTTTTTTAATTCTATTTTTACTCGTTACATTTTTTCGAACAGTTTAGAATAAAAATGAAAATCTAATCACTTTTCCGTGAACAAGAATTGAAAAGAAGTGAAAAAAACTTGTGTGACGATATTATTCGGATGATGAAAAGATTACATGGCCTAAGAAGTAAAAGTGCGATGAGAGTACAGATCGAAATATATACAATATCGCTATTGACGATATTATCGAATTTCCTTACAAAAGAAGGGACACAAGTACAGCTTTCTCATTACGCCGCTTTTTAGCTTTAGTGTTACGCAATTTTTCATCTCTTACATCAAGACATTTTTGCTTGATCGGAAATTTCTATTACACATTTCGAAGTCAGCAATATTGCTGACGTGAAACGAACGAGGATACACCGCTAATTTTCCTTTTAACAAACGAAACTATTTATTCAGCGATCGGACGCGCTACTTTCTCTCGAGCGAGCTGAGCTTTGCATAAGCTACTTCAAGTTTGTCGACGAAGAGGCAATATAATCATTTGTTTGATCATGCTTTTATATTTCTGGCTTACGTATTTTTTTTCTGTGCCACACTATTACGCCGTCTCTACGAGGATAACGATCGATGTCACATGTAAATGTGACTTTACCTTACTTAACGGATTTTGTAGCATGCATGCGCCTGGAATAATATATATATATATATTTATATACATATATATAATGTTTGTAGCTGTGTATGTGTATGCCTAGACGTTACTCCTTGTCTCTACATCAGCCTACAGAGTGGGAGACTCGGGATCTCGCACTCGAGTTTACAACGCAAAAATAGGAGTTTACGCCGGTCGCGCGGCTTGGCATTTTCTTATGCAAGATACATAAAGTATCATGGAAAATGGAGATTTCGGCAAGACGGAAGACGCTTTACAAAACATTTGTTTTAAATGTCAACGAAGAGTGTAGAGTTCATAAAATGTTTAAACTTTGTCAGCGTACCAGTAAAGTAAAAGTAAATATAATACAAAGATAAGTTTGCGAATCCAGTCTTTCCAAATCTTAGTTATCGTTATTCTTGTTTTCTTGTCTTATGGTATCTTTTTTCCAATCTTACTTCTTACATTTTTTATCTTTAAATAATACGAAATAATATTTACATATTTGGTCTTTTTTTTATCACTTTGTTGATAAAAATCTTAAACATTCATATCTTAGAAGCACATTTGTTGATAAAATACAGAATTTGATTAGTATAAAATATGATGTATTAGTAGAATACGCTTATACGGTTTGTCCGAACGTTCTAAAAGCATCCAACGTTTCACAAAGTAAAGTTCTCGAAGCGGTAGAAAAGAGAGCGCGCTTTGTACAACGTGCTCGGCATATATCGACAGCGCACACCGGGGATTACACCTTCGCAACAGATCCGGTGTGCGGTCGCGTCGAGTCGTTCCGTGCTGAAAGGACGATGTCACTCGCCATAAACATCGGTCCGCGCGATCGGCGTAATTTCCCGCAGCAGACGTTCATTTCGGATGTCCCGCGGGGAGATCGTCGCTTTCGCGTTGATATCTCCCGCATAATGATGACAGGCTTGTCGTGTTGAGAGAGAGAGAAAGAGAGAGAGAGAGAGAGAGAGAGAGAGAGAGAGAGAGAGAGAGAGAGAGAGAGAGAGAGAGAGAGAGAGAGAGAAAGAGGAGGGCCGAACGGCCCAGTAGGGATAGTGCATGCTGTGTTCAATGTGCGTTGTAATGGGAGGGCACCGGGGGTTCAGTCTCTGATGATCCAGGTGGCAAAGAAGGCGAGCGTGCTGAAGAGGAGGAAGTCGCGGAACCGAATGGACGTCCAGCAGCAGCCGACCCTGCCGCCCACGATATCCGGCGGCATATCGGCCGGTGCCGGGACCGGACAGAACGACAACCAACGTCTCGAGAACGAGGGGGACGTGGTTTTCTACATGGAGGAGCCCAAGGCGGGCACGCCGAATCGCGCCAGACGTGACAATCGGTGAGCGACTTCTGAAAACTATCTCTCGGGAGAAGTGCGTTGGGATATTGCTTCGCGATTAATTTCCCACCGAAGTGATGCAGATTTCTTTGCATCGGTAATACAAGCGTGATGAAAGAGAGATCGAAAAGAGTGAGCTGAAAGTTTCTTGCACGCGCAATTTAATTTAAAATAATTTGCGTGTAAAGTAAGCGCTTGAGATATCGTTTGTCTCGAATATATTGTCGGCGAAACATTGAAATATCAGAACGGCGGAGAGAAAATTATTCTGATCCCAATCAGCTTTGTTCGCGTTACAATGCGCTCGCATGCAAATTTTGCGTCATAACGGCGCGAGAAGTTTCGCGTCACCTTTAACAGACGTATCTCTCTGGTCATTTCTTCGAGCGGAAGAGTCGTTCTAAAGACCCGCTTTTCAGCTCGGCAAAGCAACGGTCACGAGGACGTTGGTAGTCGGGTGCCGTGAAATTGGCGAGCTTATTTCCGAATGTTCGTTGCTGTCGGGTAATACCAAAAGTGAAAAGTGCATCGAGGTGTCCCAGTGACTTCCTGAATGCGAGACACAGCGCGCGTAATTGCGCGCTGATGTTCAAAGACGGAAATGCACTCGTGACACACGAACGTCCGGCATTGAGAATTTTTCGTAATTACGGCTCTAATATCGCACAATTTTTCAAGTGACACTTTACACGACGAAATAGTCGCGGAATAAAACAGATTTATCATAAAAATCGTTTGTTTGCTTTTTTCCATAATTTGGAAATTACTCGATCTTACGCTAAAGTCAATATTTGATCGCAAATCTAATAATGCGATTAAATTTAAAAATTGCATTAAAACATAAGTGCATAATATTTAATGAGAGCATTAAAATATTAATCTTCGTATTAATTTATATTTGTACGTCGTGTAAATTTATACGGTATGTGCCAAGCTTTGATTAAACGCTTAGTATGTAACTAGTGCAAACTACTTACAAATTAGAAACTTACGATTATTTATTGACAAATTATGTAGAAATATTACTTAATATATTCGTACGTATATATGAATACATTAATTTACAAATATCAATTAATATTTATATATTATTAATTATTAATTAATCGATGAAATTGAAAATTAATGAAAGATATTACATAATATAGTTGAACGTAATTCAATAAAGAACCGCAAGATTTTGATTTATAAATGATAGATAACGTGGAAATAATTTAACTCACGAGACTCACTTATTCGATATCTTCCTTATCAAGCATGTCGATTATCGATCTGTTGAATTAATGAATGACATCAATTTGTCGGTCGAGTGATTTTCGAATAATTTTCGATGTATATAAATTGGCTGCATTTTGAAAGAATCATCGAACCCACTGATTAATGTATTATCCGTTCGAGTGCATTACGGAAATTAAATGTAAATTCTCATGTATGAATAAAATCTTGATAAACAAACACGCCGCATTGTGCGAGACAATGTGCCACTGCAATCCGCATTTGATCGATGCGAGTTTTAGAATCTGCAATTTTATCCCGCTTGCAAAACAAAGCGTTTGTTTGTTATTTGCGCCGATATATAGCCCGCTAAAGTTTTCTCTCAACGGTATTTCTCCCGATTGCGCCAAGGGACCGCGTATCCAGTAAAAACGCTCTGGAGAAAGAACTCGGAAGTTGCGCGCTGCGTAAAAGCCAAGTTCCGATACAATCACAGACGCGTGAAAAGCGTACTTCAACATTTTCACACATTCAAATAACATTTTTCACGAAGCTCTCTCTCGCGAGAGAGAGAGAGAGGTGATTTGAAAAAGTAGAACTCGGCGAACGCTCCGCACGCGATTAAGATTCCGGCCAAGTTTGCGATTTATAAAATTCAAGTCCGACATCGCCGCAAGCTAATTCTCTCCTCGAAATTCCTCGGCTGCGAGGGGCAGCGATTTGCGAAAACTTTCCGCGACAGACACACGTCAGCCCCGTCTGAAGAGCGCTTTCTCCGGAGCGATCTCACGACGTCGAAAGAGTCGGATCGTGAGGTCGTTAGTTTGAATAGCGTGTTCCCGGTTGGCAGGGGGAGCCTCTTCACCTCGCAGACGAGTTCGGTGACGGAGGCAACCAGCGACGAAATTGACATTGACATTGAAGAGCCGCAAAGGGTCACCACGTGAGTATTCACCTCATTTCATCTTTGATTCGTGGAAATTGATCTGTCGCGAGAGAGAGAGATCTATTTTTGCAAAGAAGTTATTTTTTACCAAACTGTAGAAACAATTGGGACATTTGTCAGATTATTTTCGAACCTATTTTATAGTTTCCTTTATTTGTTTCGGAGAATATACCTTTTTCCGAAATTTCACAGCCACACTTTTACGCATTATGCTCGATGTATCGGTCGACCAAAGCATACGGAAGCTTATGATCCATTCGATAACTTCCCAAGCGACTTTCGAACCGCCTGTCATCATCGTGGTGGTCGATCGTCAAGTTATTAAACGCCCATTTCGCGTGTACACTGAGTTAGATCGCGCGCCGACCGAAATCAGAGTGTAGGAAGCCGTGGAACGTATATCTCCATGCAAATTACTTCCACTTTGTATGCGGAATCGATAGCGCCGGGAAATTTTCGTGTACCTCGTGCATACCATAATATACAGATAAATAGCGTGCAGATCGTGGCGCGCGCGCGCGCGCGCGTTCCGCAAGATAGAGCGTAGTTCTACAAGAATAGAATGTGCTTCTACTTCGGTGAAATTTAATTTCGCGAAAATCATGTAGTTTCCTTCATGCATAGATGCGGCGCTCGAGTTAGCGAGGCTCGAGTTCCGACCCTTTGAAAGGGGAATCCGAATGCGCGGAGTTTGATCTCTAATATCGCCGCAGAAATGTCTTGCAACTTGATAGCCGTGTAATCCGATCGTCGTTTTCGTTGTCCTGCTTTTAAATTTGCATTCGCATTTTTCAATTTCCATCATTTATTACCAATTCATTCCAGCTGAATGACAGTCGGGAGAAAGAAAAGTAGAATACGTTGAATATTACCTGAGATATATTTCACATAGTCAACACTTTGCGGACAACTTTAATTAACGCCTCAAATAGATTTCTTCTGAAATGTTTATTAAAAACGTATCTCTTCTATTCTATCCTCAATTTTTATATACGTGTGTCTGCACTACTGATATTAGATCTATTTCAACCGCTTCAGGCGCCTTGTATATTTAGCGTATCCTTGGACTTTTAATTTAGCGGTTTAATTTGCAAACTATCGGATGTTTAAAGGCAACATATTTCGACGCGAGATAAAATCTGTCCGGCTGCCGCTCGTTAATAATTAATGACATTCGCGAGACAATCAGACGCGGGGATTATTGGCATTCGTCATCACGCCGAAAATACATTTCGCCGTCTCATGTCGCACATTCGTGGCTCATGAAAAGAAAAAGAGAGAGAGAGAGACAGAGGTGGGCGGCTTTTCGCGCCATTGACATTTCGAGAAAGTCGATTCCGCAACCGCGGAATGGAACGCACGATATTGGTGGACCAACCGAGCCCGCCGAAGGCGGGCGAAGGTCGGTCTAGATTATACGAGTGTCTCGCCCGAGAGATTACGAAGGTAGTATCACTACTTCGTGCCTAACCAGTCACAATTTTAGAGCAAAGGAAAATTTTCAATTTGCCGCCGCCTGCCCCACTCCGCGGCTCCGCGCCTTCGCACGGCTGCCACTTCCATCGTCATTCCTTTTAGAGTAGTTCCAAAAAATTTGTTTCTTCTTCTTCTGGTGGTTGACGAGTATAGTTGGGATGGGAATCTCTCGGGCGAGACACTCGTATAATCTAGACCGACCTTCGCCCGCCTTCGGCGGGCTCGGTTGGTCCACCAATTATACTTCGTGTCTCGCCCTTCGAGATTACGAAGGTAGATCTTTAGAGCCTAAACAATTTTTTGTATATAATATGTATAGTATAATATATATATTACTTTATTTAAAGCAAAGGAAAAATAAAATTTTTTACTTAAAAGAAAACAATTGTTATATTCTAGTTATTAGGTGATAATACCGTTCTCGCAAAAGTCTCTTGTGTACTAATTATAGGGCGGTTATAGAAATCCGCGAACACTTTGGAATTCGAAGACCATCCAGCTATTCTTTTAATCTCCTCAATGCTTACTCCTTTCTCAAAGGCCTTTGAGGTTGAAGCGTGTCTAGTGCTATGTGGTGTGAATTTTCTGTCTACTCCGAAAAGGATCAAGCTTGATTTTAACCATTTCCCTAGGGTATCCTTTTTTACTTTCTTATGTGGCCTCTGGAAGGAGATAAATAGTGTGTCTTCTCCGTTTCGTAGACCTTGTGTGACTTTCAGGTAATGTAACAAGGTCTTTGCAATGCACAAACCCGGCTTTTCCTTGAAAAAAGGAAGTTTTAAAAGTGGTTGCTTGGTTCCTACTCTTGACGATTTTATTCTGTCTGGAATTTTTACTTCTAGTCCTTTGTCAGAAGAAGATATATTAGAGATCTTGATTAAGGCCAGAGTTTGTAATCTATGGGCTGTCCCAAGTGCCAATAGGAGGACCAGTTTTTGTGAAAGCTGTTTTAAGGTTAATAATTCTAACGGAAACCACTTCTGTAGTCCTTTTAATACGGGATCAACATCCCACGTCGAATCGTACCTCGGCTTGTTTGGTCTTGTTTTCGATGATCCCTTAATGAATTTTTTGACTAAATCATTAGTTCCGATGTCTTCCGTGGATATTGTTGCTAATGCTGATCTTGATGAATTCAATGTTCCATAGTTTGCGCCGTTTTGATATCTTAAGGTTAGAAATTCTAAGACTTTGGATATTGATACGTCAAAAGGATCGGTATTTTGTGTGCTGTTCCAATTCCACCATAATTTTAGTTGCGTTATTATACTGGTTGATTGTTGAATCTTCCCATGCTTTTAGCATTATGTCCGCTGCATCCTCTGATGTTCCTCTTCGTCTGAAGGCTTCGCTGATAATCTGGCGGCAACCAGGGTAAGTTTGAATGCTAAAGGATGGCGTCGTGTTCTGCAAGATGAGAGTAAAAGATTGGCATTTCGGTGGAACTCTAAATATGATCCTTTGAGTAGTTTCATAAATACTGGGAACCATATTTGGTTAGACCAGAGGGGTACTATTACAATTCCAGAAGCTTTATCGTTTTTAATTTTTTGAAGTACTTTGGCAATTATGCCAAAGGGTGGGAATGCGTAAAAGTTTAAGTTTGACCATGAGAGTGTAAAAGCATTAGTAACAAATGCGTCAGGATCCCTTTCCCATGAGCAGTAAATCTCACACTTTGTATTATTTTTTGAAGCAAATAGGTCAATCTCGGGATTTCCAAATCGTACTTGGATTTCACGAAATGCATAATCTGCCAGTTCCCATTCAATATCTTTATTTTGTATTCTACGACAAGGTATCTGCTTCTTTGTTCTCTCTGGAAGAAATATATTCGGCAAATACCCACAGTCGTCGCTCTTCACACCAGTTCCAAAATTCCTCGGCGTCCGTATGTAAATACTCTACCTTTACACCGCCCATTTTATTAATATAGGCCATGGCTGTCGATATTATCTATCCTGAGAAGAATTTCACGATTCGTAAGATCATTAGCAAAGGATTTTAGTGCTAAGAGTGCAGCTTTTAGTTCTAGTTGGTTTATGTGTAATTCTGATTGTTTGGAGGTCCAGTGACCGTAGGCTTTTTTACCGTTACAGAAAGCTCCCCAGCCTGTTTTACTAGCGTCTGAAAAAATTTCTCTCGCAAAATTCATTGATTTTATTGTCTTGTAGGAAGGCTCTAAATTATTTTTCCACCAACTTAAATCTTTCTTAATTGATTTTGGAATTTTCATTATTTTTTCAAAGTTACCGTTATTTTCTTCTAACGCCCGCAATTTTGCTACTTCTAATGACTTAGAATGTATCATGCCGTATTCAACGCCTGGGCAACTCGCTACTAATAGGCCTATGAATTGGGCGAATTCTCGAATTGAACAGGTTTCTTTTCTTTCCATCTTACAAACCTGATTTATTAAATTTGCTTTTTTCTTTCGTGGTAATTCTATTGTCATTTGAGCGGAGTTTATGACAAATCCTAAATATTTACAGATACGTTCCGGATTTAATTTGGATTTTTTCTCATTTATTATAAAACCTAACCCTCTTAAAAAATTAAAAGTGGTTTGAATATTGATCCAGCAGTCTGATTTCGTTTCACCCAAACATAGGATGTCATCTAGGTAAATAACCGATAAAAATCCGCGTAGTCTTAAGCTGTTCATTACTGGTTTCATTATCTTTGTGAATACCAGGGTACTTGAACTAAGTCCAAAGGGTAGGCAAGTGAACTCGTAAACTTGAGAATTAACCCTGAAGCGGAGAAACTTTCTATAATTCTTATGTATAGAGATAAGGAAAATAAGCCTCTTTTAAGTCAATTGATCCCATAAACATATTAGGCTCTAGTAATCTACATACAGCTCTAAGATCTTCCAATTTGAAATGTTCTGTTTCTACAAAAAGATTTAGTTTTTTAAGATTTAAAATAAACCGGTTACTGCCATCCGGCTTTTTTGCTAAAAAGTAATCTGAAAGAAATTGACCTTCTGTTGGGTCGCAAGGAACTATTGCTCCAATTGACAGAAGGCGATCTATCTCTTTTTGTAGTTCAAGATATTCAGATTGATGCCAACTTCTCATGGTAGGGATCTGAGATTGATTAGGTAAAGACTTAAAAGGTATCTTATAACCTTTTACGCATTCCAGGATGAAAGGATCGGATGTGATGGTTTTCCAAGTATTTATGAAACTTGTTAGTCGTCCAGCCAATGTAATGACCTGGTTTGACTCTAGTGATGCCTGGCTCTGTCTCGATACCGGGAGCGGTCTCGATAGTAATTCGATCTCGGGTAAGACTTCTTCGTTGAGTCCGATGCTGTCGACTTCCTTGGTTGTTGAGGTCGGTATCTGGGGCCCGACTGGGTCGTCGACTTCTGGGATACCAGTGGGCCTTTCCAGTTTGACGAGCTTGGTGTGTTAGATATGGTTTTCTGTGGTTGTATTTTTATATCCTGTCCTATTTTATTAATCATTTTGACCTCTTTAATTTTTTCGCACAAGTTTTCACCAAATAAGTATTTGTCTGCTTTCCTTTGTAGCAGCTGCTCAGCCATCTGCTTTGAGACGCTTGGTAGGATACAGGCTCTTCTAGCTATTGTTTGAGAATGGTGAATTTCCGCTAACAGCTGAGCTGCGTCCCAAAGCTTTTCTAACCTTCTTTTCGCTTCCGCTGACTTCATAGGAACTAAATCTGTTATGACCGGGGCTAGTGCAGAAAGAGCTGAACCGGCTAGTTTTTGGGTGAAAGCAAAGTATCTATCCTTTTTAAGGATATTAGCGTTTAATGTGCTCAGTTCTTGGTTAAGAATTGGTGGTTCTAAAGGGCAAGTCCCTGCTCTAGGGTACTTCTTGAGTAATTCGTCTCTTACCTCCTTCTTTAGTCCCTGATTTAACCAAGGATTCCAACGGTTTACCAGGCTAGAGTGAATTTCAAGCTCTTTTTGGTTCTCTGGGGGCTCTTCGCCGATGATTTTTAATGTTTCTTCGTCCAAATCGAAGATGTCTTCTTTATCCTGGTCTATTTGATTAGTGAGAGGTGTAATCTTTGTTTCCCGAGCTTCAGTCTGTTGAGGTAAGGCCGCTGTGATTACGGTCTGGACATTCTCGGATTGAATTTCTGGAGAATTCCGATTTTCACTATCTGCCCTAGACTCTTCTGATGGACTCAACATTCTGTCCAGTCTACCTGAAATTTTTATTTTGAGGGATCGTAAGCTAAGGTATTTATAATACTATGATAAATTTGTATAGGTTATGTCTCGGCTCTCGTCCGAGCTCAACCGTTCAAACTGGCCAGGTTATGTTCGACACTGATGTGAACTTCACCCTTAAAAAGGGGGACGTTGTGTCTTATATCCCATGTGAAATATGCTATTTTAAAGCGCTTAAGGTTATGTCTCGGCTCCCGTCCGAGCTCAACCTTATTACTCGGATCACGCCTTATCTCTCGTATAAGATCGTCCGGTAACACTTTTTGGTTATGTCCCGGCTCTCGTCCGGGCTCAACCAATTTGTAAGGGATTGGACTTCCCCGAAAGTTTTCTTACCTGTATTTTCTACCTGGGATATATGCAGTGATGTTTCCGGCGAATCAGATTTTTCGTTGTCCTTAGTTTTCTCTCGTAACGGATGTCTTGGTAAGCTAGATGCAACCAGGCTTTCTAGAATCTTTATTCTTTTCCATAACTCGTTGTTTTCCTTCTCTTTACTGCGTGATCTCTTCTTACTTTTACCCATTTTCCAAAACCTAAAACTTTTCAAAATAAAATTCTGGAAATTACGCTCTAGCTGTGACTTGTCTGGCACAAAGAAAACGAATGACGATGGAAGTGGCAGCCGTGCGAAGGCGCGGAGCCGCGGAGTGGGGCAGGCGGCGGCAAATTGAAAATTTTCCTTTGCTCTAAAATTGTGACTGGTTAGGCACGAAGTAGTGATACTACCTTCGTAATCTCGAAGGGCGAGACACGAAGTATAATTCCGTACAAAAGGCCTCTTTCGAGCCCCCGCACAGACTCGTAAGTGCTTTTTTTCCACCGCTGTTACTTTGCGCCGGTACGAATGACCCAGATTTCGCGCGACGTCGAGCGCGCGCCGTTCATATACTCGGAACTTGTACATAAAGACACTCGCCAGATTTTCCCGCCCAGCCTTGCCAACCCCTTCGCTCTCTCGCGGCTCACCTACTTCCGCCTGAAGCTTTCTTATGCTTGCCAACCGAAGATATATCTCCCGGCGTTTTACCGATCCTTCTTCTCCCCTCCCCCTCCCCCCCCTCCCCCTCTTTCCCCCTTGTCCGGTTCCGTTCGCCTCGATTTCATTTTGAAATATCATTCTACGCACCGCGACATAAGTGCGGGGGATCCTTGACTTCCTTCTCGTACACTCTCTCTCTCATCCCATTTTATTCCGTATTCCGCTATTCTTTGCCTTCCATTTTTGTCGGTTATTATGTGCGCGCGAATGCTTCTATCATTTAACAAGATTTCGTATTTTAATGATTTTTTTATTCCGTTTTTCACTAACAATACTCGACAATAGTAGGAGCACTCCTACTTACTCCGAGGATTTTTCCACTCTCGGCAAATACCATGAAAGTTTTTAGATTTATTAGGGACGTTGCATAATGAATGATAAAAAGGAAAGTTTTAGTTGTACGCAGCAGTATAATTAAAATCTTGCAGGTTTAATAAAGTTTTTTAAATGCGTCTATTTGCATTAATGCACCAGGGGTTTAATAAAATTTATATAGTGCGCGGATTTACAATTTTTTCAAGAATCACTATATTAATTTCTCTTATTTGCGCATTATTATGCGCACTTTTTTTTTTTTTTTTTTTTTTTTTTTTTTTTTTTTTTTTTTTATTTTTTATTTTTATATATTGTATTTTTTATTTAGTTAGTTACGTTACGTTACGTTACGTTTACGTTTACGTTTACGTTTACGTTACGTTACTTACTTACGTTACGTTACGTTACGTTACGTTACGTTAGTTAGGTACGGTACGTACTAATAAGTAAGTAAGTAAGTAAAGTAAAAAGGTTTAAAAGGTTTTAAGGTTTAACGGTTAACCGGTACGTAACGTAACGTAAAGTTAAATTTAAAATTTAAAAACTTTAACGTTTACGTTAACGGTTTAAAGGTTTTTAAAAGTTTTTTAAAAAAGGTTTTTTTTAAAAAGTTTTAACGGTTACCGGTTTACCGTTTTTAACGTTTTTACGTTAACGTTAAACGTTTAAGTTACGGTACCGTAAACCGGGTTAAACGGGGTTTTAAAAAGTTTTAAAAAAGTTTTTTAAAAGTTTAAAGTTAAGGTTACGGTACCGGTACGGTTAACGTTTTAACTTTTAACTTTTTACTAATAATACTATATATATTTTTTTTTTTTTTTTTTTTTTTTTTTTTTTTTTTTTTTATTATAAGATGAAGCAAATCTGTTGTTTGTCCATAACTTTTCTCGAGCAACGATCTTATTATTCTGACGCAGAGCGAATTCGCCGTCGTGACATTTCATAAGAATTCCTTACGGCGTTTTATTGTAAAAGCCACTTTATCTCGCATTTACACTCACGACAAAAGTATCTGTCAAGGAGCTAAGCATTCTCGGAGACGCAAGCACCCGAAGAATGGGATACTTTTCTCGAACATATTCCCCGCTCTCCGGATAAGCGTCAAGGGATCGAGAGGCTGAGCGCCACCGGATGGTTAGCACAAAGACGGGAGAGAGAGAGAGGGGGGGGGGGGGCAGGGAGGGAGAGAGAAGAAAACCAATATTTCGGCCGGTGTATGTGTGACAGTGTGTAATCCGAGATGGATATTGACGTGCGACATTGCGTCTGGCACGAATCAATTTTCTATCTCGTATAACAATTATTTCGCATACTGCGGATTACGGAAAAGATAGCTTTATTGACGTTATTCCGTCTCGAAATAACACTGTGAACTCGTTGCTTTTGACATATACGAAAGGAAGATCCCACTAAGGTTCTATTAAAGTACTAGCGCGCTTGGGAATATCTTTGAAAGTGGAATGCGCTTCGTTCAGTTCGCATCGCCGAGGTTTAATATTACACTTCAGCCATTATTTCTCGTTCGTAGCGAACGAACGGGAAATGAGGTGTATCGAGTTGCGTCCCGCGTCGCGTCGCGCGATCGGCTACGAAAATTACGTTAACGAAGAACGGCAACTCTCTCCTCCTTGGAGGAGGAGAAATTAATTTCTCTTCTAAACCGAGAGAATCGAGCACATTCGGAGTTGCCGTTATCAAGCAGTCTGCGAGTGTGTCGCTAATATGATATATTTCAATTACAAGCAAAGCCAACACTTGTACTTCTGGGCGTCTATATTTTTTTATATCTCCGCATTCCGACGTGTCAGAAGGGAAGGTGGATGGGGAAAAGGGAAAAATAAGTTATGTCCCTGTCCGTAACTTGTCAATTTAGAACTTCGACTTGTGCCTTCGCAGGCTGACAGAGGCACACCGGAATGCTATACGGGCGATCAGGAAGATTAAGTACTTTGTGGCTCGCAGAAAGTTTCAACAAGCTCGGAAACCGTACGACGTCCGTGACGTCATCGAGCAGTACAGCCAAGGTCATCTCAACATGATGGTGCGGATTAAGGTGAGTTAATCCTTTCTATTGCGCTCCGTCTTCCGCTCTGGTGATTACCATCGAAAAGAAATTGGCCGGTTATTTTTGGGAAATGTGTGCTCTTGCATTCTCTCCTCATAAATCAAATTCATTCACCGCGTAATGAATTAACGACGGCCGTTATCGGTCCGTAATTGCTCCGTATTTGACGGATTACTCAGTGATCGTCAATACGTGAACCCGCGCCTCATTCAATCAACCGCGTTGTGATCATTGACGATCAGCTCGATACGCAACATCGAAGGACACAGCGCGAAGTTCATGTCGCTTCACGGGACGATTAAGTCGTCGATACATGATGCGACAGACGACGATTAATCGGGGAATAGTCGCTGCATCTCCCATATATGTACATACGTCCATTAGCTGCCGAAGATCGATTGTGTGTGTAGCGTCAGGAATGCCGCAAGCATCATTTTCGAAATTCTGTCGGAAGAGCACAAATGTCGCGCAATAAAGATAAAACATACGAATATGACTACGTCTTTTTTTTTTAAGATTCTTAAGTAGTTTAATGCATCGCATTATGACGATTTTATCCGCTTGTTTTTCCTTCAGCTTTGCTTTTGCAGGCATCCTATTAATCTATTTTCGTCAACGATATTTATTCGCATTCGAGCAGCGAGATCGTTCGATAATTGAAGAATCGCGGGAAGAACGACGCCGTTAGAAAGCAAAGACAAAACGTCAATTATAAGCGACTCAACTTCTGCGCGCACACAGTCCTTTGTTTGCCGAAGAAGCTTCGATACTCGACGAGGGCGAATAGGGCTTTATTATGTATCGAGGAGATCGATAACACCCTCGAGCGCCCGTTGTTGCACGGCGAGCCCCGCTTACGAAATTTCGAATTGCTGATTTAAGCGCAACAAAGAGGCGCATCTGCACACCGTTTCATTATGACGCCGCATTAATTCGAAATTTCTCTCATTCACCGTCGACCTTTCTCGTTTCTCGATTTGCGAGTATCGCGAATACCTCCGGCAAACAGTCACGCGAATACATTTGCGAATTTGCCTTGCTCTGCACTCTGCGTAATTGCATCAGATTAAAAAAAAATAAATATGAAAAAAGGAAGGAAAAAAAAACGAATGAAAAAGGAGCGATATTGATTAATAATGAAATATACTTTTAACAGCCGGTAACGATTTTCCTTTTCTCTCTATTGTGTCACTTTCTTCTCATCTCTGTGCTCGTCTATCGCTCCAGCCTGAGTGTAGATTTACGGATGTTAATTGCACGTTCGATTTGTCCGCAGGAGTTACAGAGGAGATTGGATCAGACCCTGGGTAAACCGGGGAGCTACCTGGCAGGAATCGACCGGGCGGGCAACGTGAAACCCATGACGATTGGCGCGCGCTTATACCGGCTGGAGCAGCAAGTGCGTCTCTCGCTTTAATGTGTTGCCATAATCGTTGCGATTATCTAATTACATTTTAATTTTCAAAGCGCGTAGTTTCGCGAATGTAATTTTCTCGTTTCGGATTAATTTTTAAATTTGTAGATTGTCGAAAGGGAATTACGTGCTTACGAGCTTATTACGAGTTTCCAAGCTTTACACATCTAATTTTTATCTATCTTTATTTTGCTCATTAAATTTGGATTGAGGAAGGAAATAAGGTCTCCGATTTGCAACGGAATTATGCAATGATAGAATTACATCGACGACATTCGATTTTTATTGGATCACTCGTCGAATAATTTTCTCACGTTATACAGGAAATTTGCATGCGATATCGATCCTACATTAATTATTCCTTCGGTTCACAAATCTTCTCGAGCCAAAAGAAAATACGCGAACAGAGTGAAGAGTAAGAATGGAATTATGCTGAACCCCGCATCACGGAAGGAACCAATAATGGGATTAATTACGTACAGTTTCGTGTGATCTCGTTGAAAAGCGGTTCTGCAAATGACGCAATATTTTCAATAGCCGTTAAACGATCCCTCGCACAAATTGTGGAAACTTTCGGCCGAAATTGCGGCGTCGTAGACGTGTCGAAAACGGAAAGCTCGCGATCGCGGAGCCTAATCTGTAATCGGAAATGTGCTTTCTGCTTTCAGTTGTCGGTGATGGACAAGAAGCTGGATCAGTTGATGTACGTGCAGAACGCGTTGGCGCAGAAACAACAGATACCTCTGCGTAGCATAGAGGACGACGTGTAACAAAGAGCCCCCGGCGAGTTCGCGCAATCTGTTTTACGATCAGCCGCAGTTCCACGGATCCTGCCTCGCGTTACGATAACTACAGTGATGCCGAACATGCTCAGCGAGAGTTTCTAAGCGCGAGATAACGCGCGCGCGCGCGCGCTCGATACGCAATTCCGCGCGAACGTGTTTCGCGAAGTACAAACGCCATCCGGCTCCGGGACGAAGTTCCCCGGTGGATACCGCCGGAGAAATCGCAGGAATAACAATAATCTTGGCGAACTTTTTGCAATTCCAGTAGCGCCTCAGAAGTCCACGCCTTTTCGATCTTATTACTCGTCACGATCGTCGCCCACGCGTGTCTCGCGGAGAGGGACGCGACGGGGACGCAAATCCAACGGCAGCTGACGGAGCCGCGTTCTCGCACACGATCGTAAACGCGAAGTCAAACGCACAGGATGCATAATCGAATGGACCGAGGCGCGAAAGCGGTGGACGATAGTCGCAAGATCGCGCCTCGTAAAAAAAAAACAAAAAAATATAAAAAAACGACGTTTCGTGGAACCGAAACCGAGAGTGTGCGGGATATCGCGCAGTTATCAAAGAAAGAGCGCGAAGGAATACATTATTCATCGAGAGAGGGACGACGGGGGCGGAGGGGAGATCGTTCGTCCTGTCATCGGGAAGAAAGGGTGTCGACGCTGTTCCATATTTCAGTTTCGCCGAAAGAATGGGTTTAAACACGCCAATGGGAACATCATATTCGGGCCAACTAGAAATAATAAAGAGGAATGATAAGCAAACTGAACTTTCTAGAGCAGATTTCGAAACGTGTTGATTGAAAACTCGTAGACTGCAGGATCGTTCGGTCTGAATCCGGTCCGAATCGTTCGAATCAAGCGGGCGGAATCGCCATCGGGTCGCGCGAGGAATGGGATTCCGCATGGGTTTACGGTTTCGAGAATCGTGGTTCCGTTTCGCTTCTTTTCTCAACGCACGGGAGGTCCCCGCAGATGGAATCAATTTCCGAATCCGCTCTGCTCGCGAATAGTTCTCGGTTGTTCGATTTCGCGCGAGCTCTCGATTTCATTTCGTAGATTACCGATTGATTTCTTCGGCCTAGCACAAATGTAGAATACTTTCGTGGTAACTCCCGCTTTAAGTCCGCTACGATTCTCCATCTTTTTTACGGCATCGCCCGATTACACTTGCCTACCGCGCTTATCCCTGAAGAGCAATACGTTTACGTAGATTATAGGTGCTGCTCTCCGTGAACCTTCGGTACAATATATATATATATATATTTACATAGGTATGTATTATCCGTAATATTAGTCTTCGATACACGCGTGAGTCTTGAGAAAACGTCTTAGAAATTTAAGGATACGCCATGAGAAGAAGGGAGGAGGGGGAAGGGATGATGGACGAAAGTTGTACATATATCGCGTATTGCGCGGAGGCGTATCACACACTCTCTCGCAAACAAATACAATTTATATTTTGTACGTAGATTATTTACAGAAAAGAACATCAAGATCGGAGACGGTTGCACCGCGATCTTGAATCCTGCGCGACTCGTAGTGTTAGTGTGCAGCTTTCTTACTTAGGATCGAAGCCGCCGAGCTGCGATGCGACACAAATTCGAAAAACCCGACGGTAAACGATCTAACAAGCTTTTTATCATAAATTAGATTAAAGAAGGATGATCGAATCGACTCGCGGGGATGACATCGGCGCAGAGGACGCGGACAGTGATGCAGTTCTTATGATTTCTCGACTGCCAAGATAGTTTTAAACGAGATGAGCAATATAACGTTAATAAGTTCAGATAGCGTTCACGGGCGGATTTTCGGCGTTGTCTCGCGATTCGCGGCTGCGCGTCGATCGATTAAAAAACGACTTCGCGGGCAGGAGATCGTCTTTTACTAAAAGCGAGTCTGTCGCACTTTATATATCTGTCACCTTATACATATTATTATGTACATATATACAGTGAGAATAGATTTAGCGACTTTCTTAAATCGAGCGGCTTCTAAGAGTATTTT